GACAGGTATACAAAAGCTCCAAATGATGATGTCCAAACAACAAGAAAGAGCCCACGTCGAAAACTTAAAAACAGGTGGAATAAAACAGCCACAGGGATTTGATGTAACGAAACAGCGAACATGAACCAGAGGATATTTCATACATCTAGACAAACCTAGCAGCAGAATTTGGTGCCATTTGTCTGACACTGAGGTAGAGATTGTTTTCGAATTTTTTAAACAGGCAATTCCAGAACAGCAGTAAGACACCTTTAGCATGACCAAACAACACCACAGAGGAGAGAGAGAAATTAACAATTTTTAAAAGCACGGGAATAAAATACTTCAACCTGATTTTGTGGAAGGCGCGCACAAGGGAATGACTTAATGGGCATTCATTTGAAAACAAAAAACAAAACAAAACAGAAACCGAACAACCAAGCAGACTTAACCGCACGCTACAGTGTGTCAGAATTCATGCATTGCTGAAAAAAATAATCGAAACTGTTACCATATATGCCCTATTTTCAACAGCACAGTCTTTAATATTAATATTATGGCAACAAGGGAGTTCTACTGTTTGGAGAAACGCAACCTACAGGAACGAGAAAAGAGATTTGAACAGATTCCCAACAGCTATGGCAAGTTTAGAGACTGCAACGGTCACGGCAAGGGCAACTAACAACAACTATCGCTGCGCTCTGAAAACAGGCACCACTCTGGAATTATTAAATTATGCATGTACATCCATTACAAGATAATATGTGACTATAATGGTCAAAATTGTAGAAGGGTCTATTGTTCTCTGGACTATCATTAGGTAGGGATACAACTTACTTCAGTTGTTGTTTTTTTAATCAAGTCCTGAGAAATTTTCTTGTTTTTACCAAGATTGAAACCATTCCCTTTGGAATACTAACGACTTTTAACAACCCTCGTTTTCAGTTTTTCAATTACTACGAACGTTTGCACGAGACCACCCCATGAATCGTTTAACTCAGTAGCCTATTGTAAAGAGCAATCTACTTCAACAACCTTCTTATACGATGAGATTCGTTTCTTTTTAAAATTCTAAAACAACGTTTCACGTAAATATAAGAGCTACTTTTGTCTTCCAAGACGCGAGCGATGTTGAAATGGATTGCCCTGCTCGATAACCCTTACAGGTATATGGCATTCTAGAACAAGACTTGCTGTGACATTATCTTGCGTGGCAATTAACAGAAAGAATGAACTAAAAATATCACACACACACACACACACACACACACACACACACACACACACAAAAACTGAGAGAGCACAAGCATTTTCTCACTCGCGCTGAGAACTCCAATAAAACCAATACCAAGCACCTTAATGTAACAACAACATTCGAGTGAAAAAGGAGCCCCCCCACCATCCCACTTTCCGACAAAAAGCCAAAGACCCGAAGCACCCTTACCATACGTATAACACTATCTTGTGGTACTTAGTTTAGGTATTTAAAGGGGGGCGTTAGATATTCAAGAAGGTTTCCAGAGCATACAGTATACATGTAGTGAGTGGCATAAAAACTTGACACAGAAAAGGCAGGGACGTCCAACCCCCCCCCCAAAAACAAAAACAAACAAAAACAACCCTGATGACGCGCCCCTTACCTGGAATTCCCAAAATCTAGTCGACCCTGAACAAAAACAATGGTCGAAATAATAGAAAACAAACTATTCCACAAACAGTAGGGATAATCAGAAGGTGATG